TCACCGTCTGACTCTGTGCAGTCAGAGTCCAAGCCGCCCCGAATCTGAGTGATCTTGTCCAATAGGTGCTGGCTAAACTCCTTGGCTCACCCTCGCAGAGAGTCTTCCCTCACCCTCTGATTCAAGAGGGAGCGGGACACCCTAAACAGGGCAGCCGGGCAATTTTCTGCAGACGTGATGACATCGGCGAAGTAGCGATGCTTTGCCGTTGCCAACTCCACCAGGTAGGCCCATGTGGCCGACCTTAACTGGGACCGGTCAGATTCGGAACGACTGGCTCTCCAACGGCTCTCTAGGCCTTGCCTACGTCGCTTCATCCCCCGGAGCTCCTTGGTAAACCAAGGTGCCAACCAGGATCTGCGTCGTGTCAGAGGCCGCAAAGGAACGACCCGGTCAAGAGCCCTGGCAGCAGCCTCATCCCAGGCATCCATCAGGGTCATGACCAGGGCGTGGGAGAGAGAGAGAGGTATCATCCCAAGCTCCGTCTGGAACCTTTCCGGGTCCATCTGGCGCCTGGAGCGGAACCAGATGGTCGGCTCCGCCTCCAGGAAATGCTACAGCAACGAATAGAGCTAAGACCAGAGATATTCCTATTGGGAATACTACTGGAGAAATATAGTAAAGAAGATATGTATTTGATTATTCACATAATAACAGCGGCTAGAATATTTTTTGCAAAAAACTGGAAAGCAGTCAAAATCCCGTCAGAAGGAGAGATAATATAGAAAATTTTAGAATGTGCAGAAATGAATAGACTAACATTGAGAATAAAAGATAAAGAGGAATCGATGTATTTCAAGACATGGGGAAGATTTTATGATTGGTTAGAAAAGAAATATAAATAAAGATAGAGAGAGGAAGTGGATAGGGAAAAGACAAATAAGAGAAAAGATAAATAAAAAGAATAGAAACTCAGATGATGCCTAGGTAAATGGAAAGGGGAAACGGGGGGGGGGGGAGAAAAAGTGTTACTATAAAAGTGTACATGAATGATATTAAACAAAAAAGAATTTGAAATGAAAATATATGTAAATAGAAAATCGGGGCTGCTCGAATACCACTCTAGATTAAATTGAAAATGGATACAACAAAGGAGTGGGAAAGGAGAAAGGAATAGAGAGAGGGAAGGAGGGGAGAAGAGAGAAAAGGAGAGAGAGGGATAGAAGAGAGGGAAAAGGAGAGGAAGAAAAGGGAGGGGAAAGAAGAGTAGGAGAGAGGGTTAAAAAGGGAGCAAGAAGAGAGGAGTGGGGGAAGGGGAGGGGAAGTAGAAGGGGAGGAGAGGAGGAATGAAGAAAGTAGAAAGGGACAGAAGAAGGAAGAGGAGGGAAGAAGAGGAAAGGTTGTGGTAAAACAAAGAAGAGAAAATGGTAAAAGAGCAGCCCCGAAAAAATAAAAATGAAAGTTAAAGGATAAGATGAATGATCAATGATTAATGATGGATAAGAGACTATACACTTAAATATGTTTATGAGAAATAAAAATAAAAAAAATATGTAAAAAAAAATCAATGGACTTTAGAAATGTGTACAATTCATTCATTTTTGAAAAGGCTATTTTTGTTACTAAACAAAAAATGAGTTCCATAAGTTTCCTTTTGGCATAGTTTTCCTAATAGTTTACAAGAATAGACATCTACACAAGACAAAGATGATAACTAAAAAATTATCTATAACTCAAAGAGAAGAGTTAGGGAGGATAACGGGGTTTGAAGTAGTTAAAAAGGTTAAGTATTTAGGAGTATATATTGCAGCCTCAAATACGAAATTGTATAAAAATAATTATGAAATTCTTTGGCAAAAAGTACAGAAAGAAATGGAAAAATGGAAAAAGTTATAACTATAACTACTGGGAAGGATAGCAGCAATAAAAATGAATGTACTACCTAGGTTTTTATTTTTGTTCCAAATGATACCAGTGCTTAAAAAAGATGGAAATCTGATGGAATGGCAGAAAGGGGTTAATACTTTTATTTGGGCTGGGAAGAAACCAAGAGTGAAACTGAAAATTATACAGGATATACGTGAGAGAGGAGGTCTTAAAATGCCTAATTTAAGATTGTATTATGAAGCAGCAGCTTTATCACAAATTAGTGATTGATTTAACCTAACTGAAGAAAGAATGTTAAACATAGAAGGTTATGATTTGTTATATGGATGGCATGCTTATTTGTTGTATGAAAAAAAAGTGGATAAAGTGTTTAAGGGTCATATACTCAGAAATGCATTGTTGAGGGTTTGGAAAAAGTACCAATATAAGCTGAACTATACCTATATGGGCAAATCCCAGACATGCAATAGAAAATATAAGTATAGAGCAAAAAATAGAGGTGATTACCTATAAAGAGCTTCTTCTTTTGGAAAGGGGTAAATTGCAACTGAAATCTCTAGATGAATTAAAAGAAGAAGGGATAATTTATACTTGGTTTCAGTATGGTCAGCTTCAAGCTAGATGGAGGGAGGATCAAAAAATTGGGGTTATGCAAAATGAGGAAAATTTGGTGAAACAGATTAGAGATCAAAGTCAGATGCATATTAAAAGGTTGTATAATGCATTACTGGAAATAGACTCAGAAACAGAATTGGTTAAGGATTGTATGATAAAATGGGCACAAAACTTTCAGGAACCAGTGATGATGGAAACGTGGGAAAAGATTTGGGTCAGAAATGTTAAATTTACGCAAGCACAAAATTTGAGAGAGAATTTTTATAAAATGTTTTATAGATGGCACTTAGATCCTAAAAAATTATCATGTATGTACTCGAACTTGCAAGCTAAATGTTGGAGATGTGAATGTAATGATGCAACCTATTATCATATATGGTGGACCTGTAAGAAAATCAAGGCATTTTGGATAAAAATTTGGTGGGTGATACAGAACATTTTGAAAAGAAGGTTGAAATTTACTCCTCAATTGTTTCTATTGGGTATAATTACGGACTGTACAGTTTCAGAGACTAAATTGATTTTGAACTTAATATCAGCAGCTAGGCTGCTGGTAGCTCAATATTGGAAGAAGGACTCTTTGCCTACTATTGAAGAGTGGATATTGAAAGTAACAAACCTAGCAGAAATGGCAAAAATCTCAGTGTATTTGAAGGACCACACGCAAGAAAGATACATATCGGAATGGAGAAGATGGATTAATTATATTCAAAATAAGTATCAGACAAGAAAATATCAAATAGCTTATGAATGAATGTTAGTATTAGAAGTATTTGGTTATCTGTAGTGGAGTTAAGGTTTCAGTGGGGGAGGCAGTACTTTGAGGATAAGTAGATTAATCTAGTTTATGTTTGATTAAATGCAATACCTTGTATTTTGCTCTGGGAAGTCGGGGGGGGAGGGTGGGATGGAGGGGGGGAAAGGGTGGAGGGAACATGGGGGAAAAATTTTTTGTATTTCTTTTTTGTAAAACTTTTCAATAAAAAAAAGAATAGACATTTTTTGCGCAATTTCATACATTGTTGTCACATGACAAAAATGTAATATCGATCATTGGGTGATTTACACTGCCATCTTCAGTTTTTTTCTGTTTATTTTTTATTTTTCCTCTTTGTTTTAGCTGTACAATTTCATTAATTGATTGGTTAGCTATTACTATTGTTTTGTTTCTGCATGTTGGTTTTTTTGTATTTGTCTTTTAAAAATTTCAACCATTTTTTTTACGTCTTTAGTGGTGAAAGGAATAGGATGGAATAGAAATGTGAAATTCTGTACCCAGCTAGGAAATACACAAGACACAAATTTAAGATGGTGAAGAACTAGCTTGGCAGTGGTGCATGCAAAACAGATCTCAGCATCCTTCTGGACCACAATTTAGCAGCTTCTAAAGCAGCTGGTCCCTTGGGGTACAGGAGGAAGAGCAGAGTCTGGGTCTGAGATGGTAAGGAATCATTCCACTCTACTCTCTCCCAATCAGATCATATCTGGGAAGCTGTATCCAGTGCAGCTTAAAAGTGATAGTGACAAATTGAAGGAATTTGGAGGAAGAGAAGGGTAAGAACTAGAAACCAGCCCTGTCTACACAATCCTTCGATAGTTGAAGGATTGTTCATATTTACTCTATAGAAGAGATCTTTGAGAGGAGGCATGATGGATGTCTCAAGAACTGTCACACAGAACAAGGAGTGGACTTATTTTCTGTAACCCCACAAGGGCAGGAGCAGACCGGGGAAGGGTTGATAAAAACTCTTTGTAGCTAGACATTTGGAGGAACTGCTTGACTTTAGGAGCTATCAGCCAGTGAATCCAGCTGCCAATGATGTATTGAAAGGCCAGTTGGTCATTTGCCAGAGATGCTCAAGTGGAGGCAGCAGTGAGCTGGGGGTTAGACTAAATAATCTCCACGTCGGTTCCAACTGTAAGACCTCCACAAACAGTGCCATGGAATTTCTTTTGTTAAGATGAAGCAGGAAGGACCACAAGTCCATGCTCAACATACCGTTAATATGTTTCTAGTCTCTGGCCACCTAGAGTAGGCTGTCCCACTCAAACTGAAACCTTTATTGTTAGCCCCTACCCCCATTGGCACTGGGCTTTTACCATTGAAAAATGGAATGGAATAGAATTGAATGGGAATGGGAATGGGAATGGGAATGGAATGGAATGCTTTATTGGCCAAGTGTGATTGGGCAACAAGAAATTTGTCTCCGGTGCATAAATTCACAGTGTACATATATATAAACAGCAAGTAATATGACCTATTAATCAAGGTTTTGGGAAATCAGAGTCCTCTACAAAGCCCTAAGCAGGAGGGCCATTCACTGTTGAAAAGCAGATGGCCGCATTCATTGATTCCCCCAAACCAATCCCAATCAAATAACTTATATTTAGACTTTAGCAGCATTATGATATCTAAGGCCAGAAGACTGGTCTAAAATCTCCTAAAATATCCCCCCCCCCAAAATGTTCCATGACAATCCAGGTGAAGGGAAGAGGCACATAATGAGTGGTCATCAACAAACAGATGGCTGAAATAGGCTGATCTCCTAAAGCCCAACCTGTGCAACAGCAACTTCTCAAAATGCAGTTGTCGGCGGTCCAGCTCCACTTCTGGGCGAACCCCTTGGCAACAGATCCGGAAGGTGACTGGCTCCGGATTCTCCTTCACACAGCAAACGATGCTGTCTTCGAACACACCAGCTGCCGTTGGATAAGCCCAGATGGTCAACACCTGGAAGGACAGGAAAGGGCCCTGAGTGGCATCGCCTCCTGGGCAAAGGCCGTCAGGGAAAGCAGTGCCTGCTGCCCTTACTTGCTTCTGGTTTGGCTTCAGCATCAGCATGGGCGGGTCCAAGAGGTAGGTGACTGCCCTGGAGTCATGCTGGAAGAAGAAATGCACTTCGACCTCCAAAGGGGAGATGTTGAGAATGGTGAGCTTTTCAAAGTGGTTGGGATATCGTGCAGCCTTGTACCTAGAGAGCACAGGAGGGAGGCAGAAGAGAGAAGACAGAGGCCAAAGGGTCTTTTGGTTGCTGCTATATTTATTGTCGTTTCAACCACCTTACTGAGGTTTTGTTGGTTGTTTATATTGTAAGCTTATACTATAAGAGTCAGTTGAGCTAGGCAGTTCTATAAACTTGATTAAATCAATGAATAAATAAATAACACCTAAAGACCCTGTGATCCTGACGTTACACATTCTCTTAAGTATCTTCTTTTAGACATATGAAAAGGCAATTCAGCTTATACTTCCTTCTCCACAGTCAGGCTATTCTGGCTACTGTGTCAGATCCCTATACTGCCATTCAAATGGAGGGAGGGGGGGAGCATGGGCATAAGCTGTATTTTTATAACCTTTTTCCTGGCGTCTAAGCATCCTGCAGTATTCTCATCTTCTTTGGAATGTAATAAGGCCATGTGGATTGTTTCAGTTTGCTAAAAGCGGAAGAAGATCCTGGGAATGGCTCCTTATCTGTTTCTCAAGATGGCCGTTACAATAAACATCTTCATATCTGTGGATTGGCTAGATCCACATTCGGATGGGAGGGAGGGATTCTAAAGCCCTATTTCTAACTGTGTAGTTTGGGAGGGAATTTAGAGTCTGCTTCGCCTGTTCTGCTATCACTTCTTCTCAATAAAAGGTTCCTTTTGAAATACCATGTTTCAAGAGTCTATACATTCTTGGGAAAGGAGGAGAGGCAGGTCCTTACAGAAAGCAGACTCTGCAAAGTAGGTCAACCCGGAGAAGCACATTTCTTCCTACTGTGGGGACCTTGCAACGACGTCCAAGCAAAGGAGCGAATGAGGAGAAATCAAATACTACGTAGATATCTCCACCATCGCTCAACCCAAAGCATACTCCTCATACCTAATCGTGGAGTTGGGGATACCCCAAAAGGACTCCAAGAAATTGCGCTGGTCACCTGGAATTGGGAGGAAAAGAGACAGCTGGGGCAGGAGGACCCAAGGAGTCACCTTAGCCCAAAGCCCGACTGGAAATTAGAGCTGGAAGCCCTGTCTGACCAAGAGGAAACTTTAGAAGAAACCAGGAGGGGGGACCGACTGAAGCACCACATCAATCAGCTGATAATAGAGGTGCTAGAAAACATCAACCTGAGGGGGGAACGGGAACCACCACCCAGAGGAGCCAAAGCCCCAGACCCCGCCGCAGGGAATCAAGCCAACACTGCTTAAATAGCCGCCGCCGCAACAACCCCCCCTTACGATCTGAGCTGCTGCGAATACACCAGGTCAGCCCAGGAGTTGGAGAGACAGGCACCACCCTTAGAAGTGAAGTTCGATGGAAACCCGCAACAGCTAGGATTCTTCATGGCACATGTACTCACCTACATGCAAGAATACGGGTGCGCATTTCAAACCCAAGGCAAGTGCGCATTTCAAACCCAAGTACGAGTCGTGACGCTCGTGTTAGAGGGAGCCATGGCCAGATGGTTACCCTGCACAACACGGATGCCGCAGAATTGAGAAAACTTCAACAGATTCATGATGGCGCTACGTCACCGTTTCGAGGACCCCCTTACTGACCGAAAAGCCAGAGACTGAATTAAAATGGTGAAGCAAGGGCGACGATCCATAGGTGAATACACTAAGGAGTTCTGGGACCTGGCCTGCCGCGTCGACTGGCCAGAAGACATCCTGGTGAGCTGCTTCAAAGATGGATTAAACAATGACCTCTACAACGGCCTGCATCACCAGAGGAGCATCAGATCACCTGCCTGAGTGGTACTTCACCATGGAGGAAGCTGAGATCGACATGGTTAGAAACCCATACCGACCAAGCCAAGGCTGGAAGAGACCCCCGCCCCAGGGGAAAAAGAGAGCAATTCAAATCGCCACCCCCCCCTTGACCCCAAGGTCGTCAGCTTGTTTTAAGTGCAGGAAGGAAGAGCACCAAGCTGCAGAGTGCTGATCAAAGATGCTGGTGAGGAAATCAGACCGCCTGTCAGGGGGGAAACCACAAAGCCAAGCCCCCGAGGGAAGGAAACTGCCCTGCGAAGCAAGGCAACCGTCGAGTTTCAGGACCCCCACCCCTTGGCGATCGAAACTCCAGAAATCCAACCAGTGAAACCAACTTTTACCGAAAGTGACCCAGAAGATGAACTACTGGTAAACAACCCAACTGAATCGTTTTTTTTTTTTTAATTTGATTTATATACCGCCCTTCTCCGAAGACTCAGGGCGGCTTACAATGTGCTCAGCAATAGCCTTCATCCTTTTGTATATTTATACAAAGTTTACCCTCCCCCTAAGACTGTTTATATCCAGTCGAGGCAGAGAAGTAAAAATCTCTGCTTTTCTAGAGTTGGGATGCACAAGTTGCCTGATAAGTCCCACCCTAGTAGGGAAACTGGGAATAAATCTAAGGAGACTAAGGAACCTGATCGAATTTTGCCAATTAGATGGATCAATATCCAGGGGAGATCCCACCATGTTTGCTACCGAACTCTTACAAAAAAATATGGATAATCACAAAGGGACACATTTGTGGTGGCACCCGGCAAAGAATGGCCATTAGTATTGGGGTTAGCATGGCTGAGAAAATGGAATCCCCAAATTAACTGGAAGCAAGGGTCAATCAGATTTCAGTTATGGGTAAATTTTGTTGATGAAAAAAAGGGTGACCGGAAGGGGGGGGCTGACTGTGAAATGGCGATGCCTGGTTGGGGAACGCCAAATGGGGATATACCAAAGGAATACAGAGACCTAGCTGAGGTTTTCAGTGAAAAGGCATCTGATGAACTCTCCCACCCCCCCCCACCCCCATGCTACTGACTGTGCAATTGAAATCCTGCCAGGGGCAAAGCTTCCCAAACCAAAGATGTACTGCATAGAGAACTGACAGAATTAAGAGCTTTCATTGACAAAAAAACCTGAAAAGTGGGTTAATTGAACCAGCACACCCGAAAATCGCAGCCCCAGTACTTTTCAGAGAAAAAAAAGATGGCTCTATGAGATTATGCGTGGACTATAGAAATTTAAATACAATAAGTGTAGAAAACATGTACCCTTCCCTCTTATGAAGGAACGTTGGCACACCTCTCACAAGGGAAAATCTTTTTAAAGCTAGACCTGAGAGAGGCATACTATCGAATAAGAATAAGGGAGGGGGATGAGTGAAAAACGGCATTTAACACACTACTGGGCTGCTACCAATTTAAGGTACTTCCTTTTGGATTACAAGGAGCTCCTGCCATATTCATGCAACTAATAAATGAAGTGTTCCATGAATATTTATATAATGGGGTCCCGGTTTACTTGAACAACATTTTAATCTATAAAGATTAAAAATCTATAAAGACAAAAGAAGAACATGTAAAGTTACTCAGGGCAGTCGTAAATAAACTCCACGCAGCAAAGCTCTATGCCATGTAGAGAGCGTTGCAGTAGTCAATCCGGGAGGTGACTAGCGCATGAGTGACCATGAGTAGGGCATCTCGGTCCAGGTAGGTCACAACTGGCGCACCAGACGAATCTGGGCAAATGCCCCCCTGGTCACGGTCTTAACATGACAACCGTGAATCCAGGAGGACGCCTAAGTTGCGCACCCTGTCAACAGGGGGCAACACCTCACCCCCTATAACCAGCGGTGGAGCTTCCCCATGGAACCGAGATGCCGGTACCCACAGCCACTCCGTCTTGGCAGGGTTGAGCCAAAGCCTGTTCATCCCCATCCAGAGCTGCACTGCTTCCAGGCACCGGGATGTCACATCGAGGGCATCCCTGGGCTGATTCGGGGTGGATGGAAAAAGTTGGGTATCATCAGCATATTGATGATACCCCATCCCAAAACCACAGATGATCTCCCCCAGCGGCTTCATATAGATGTTGAACAAAAGGGGCCTCAGGGCCGACCTCTGTCCCCCTGCCAAAACCACTTGCGAATGACCCGTGAGGTAAGATGAGAACCACCGTAAAAAAGTGCCTCCCACCCCTAACCCCTCGAGGCGTCGCAGTAGGATACCATGGTCGATTGTATCAAAAGCCGTCGAGAGATCTAACAGGACCAGGACAGACTCCCCCCTCTCGCAGGCTTGGCCCTCCACTCTATCAAGGGCCTACCTCGATGACGGGCTTTGGAACCCCGAGAGGTGGCATGCCGCAAAGAGGGGGTTGCGGGGTTTTTTAAAATTGTCTTTGTCTAATCTTTTAAGGGGTTTGGGGAGGGGGGAGGGGGGTGGGATTGGAACTAGGGTCGTGGGTTTGGAGGATAACCCACCAAGGGGAGGGTCGGGCCTGGCCATGACGCACGGCGGGCGGGTGGGGGATCCAGGGGCAATGGGGGGGTCGAGCTTGTCCAGACTGTGTCTTTACCATCGATACTGTGAGTGGGAGGGGTAGATATGGCGGGAGCAGGGGGCCATATCATGTTAAGGGAGCACGCACCTGCTGTCTCCAAGAGGTAGGGTGCTCCGGCCCCCAAGGCTCCACCCGTTCTCCAGGTTGCACAGACCCTCATGGCCTGGGCCTTCGTCTGATGTTGTGCAACGCCAGGTCCGTAGTAAATAAAGCCCCCCTCATCTGTGATCTTGTTCAGGAGGGGGGAGCGGACCTGGCTGGTATTACGGAGACCTGGTTGGGCCTGGAGGGAGGAGTCCCTCTGGTAGAAATGTGCCCACCAGGCTTCCATGCATTCCATCAGCCGAGGTCACAGGGAAGGGGCGGGGGAGTAGTGGTTATTATTAGAGAAGGCCTTAGGCCAAGGGAGACCACTGTTCCTCAGACGGCCGGTTGTGAGTCCCTCCTTGTGAAGTGGGGCCATGGGGCTCAGATGGGCTTGCTGATCATGTACCTGGCTCCCTGCCACGTGGCAGCAGCCCTGCCCGAGCTATTCAACGTTATTGCCGCGGTGGCAGTTGACACCCCCAGACTTATGGTCATGGGGGATTTCAACCTGCCGTCCGTGGGTGAGACGTCTGAGGTGGCTCGGGAGTTCATGGCTTCCATGACGGCC